GGGATAGTGTGTATCCTTAAATATAATATGCCTCATATATATATATATATATATATATATATATATATGTATGTGTCATATTATAATTAAGAATATACACTATCCCTTTGTGTGTAACAACTTAGGGGCAGTGTACAAAATTTTGACATGAGATGCACAGAAGTCATGACCCCATTTATGTCCACTTGCAAAAAGCTACCACACTGACAAACTACAAAGCAATCCTCTTCTTTCCCTCTCTCTGCAAACTACAAAGTGAAGGGAATAATTGAAAGTAGCCATGAAAAGAAACATAAACAACTGCAAAAAAAGGAAAAAAGTGAGAGAGTGGAGGAATAGAAGGAGGTAGAGAGGGGAGATAAATATACGTCAGACAAAACTTGGCTGAGGTTTATATTTTATTTCAGCTTTAATTAAACTTCTCATAAGTTACTTTTCTTTGATGTGTCTTGGATTATGGGATCGACTATCACTTGTGATGATGTTCTAATTTCTCAGCAAATTTGACTCAAGAATACCCAAAAGTGTGTCACAAAAGCAGACAAAAGCTATGCGTACAAAAGCACACACAGGATAAAATACGGATATCTACGAGGATAAGATGAGGATAAAATATTGATATCTTTCCTGAAGTGTTTATAAATTGTACACTGTTCAATTATTAACATTAACAACAAACTATTTTAAATTACAAAATTGTACTTGGATTAAATAAAAATTACTTGCAATATAATTCATATTACTTATAAGACATTTCTTCTTGCCATTAATTTTGACAGTATGGGTACACTAGTGTAAATATAAAAATGGACATTGAGGTCAGCATCCAACAGTGACAGTTTGTTTCATACTTAAGCACAATCTTCAGGTTATCATTATGAAAGCAACATAAAAAAAGTGGAAAACAAATTGGACGTTTTTCTGCTGCAGAAAACATATCTATATCTTTGAATTGGCAAAATAGCACATCTCAATCTCTTTCATGGAAATACTGCAAATTACAGACTTAACTGTTCTCTTTACAATAAAAAAAAAATAAAACATCTATTTCTATATCTATTGCAAACATAAATAAACCTGCCGGCGAGCTATACTTAATCTATTTCTTGTAAAGTACAGCTTTTGTGTATGTTTCATGTATGTTCAGTATAGAAAAAAGTGATGGCTAGAATTTCACTTGACTGGGTGGACTTGTTTACTTGAGTGCTAGCCATGGGATGTATGTTTATGGATGGTATATGGTGAGGGCTGTGGGTGGCCAGTTTGAAAGAATTAGTTCACAAAAACCTGGGAACTGTGTAATGAAGTTGCAAATTTTTAGATTTATTTGCTTGTATGTTGTAAGATATTTTGGGGGAAAATATACTTCCAAACTTAGATCTAGTTTATGGAATTAGTATTTGGTAAAAGAATAAACACCACAAAAATCCTGTGTGCTTGAATTCTAAAGTATTTTGAGACAAAAGGTCATAAATTCCTGTTAATGAGAAGCAATAATACAAATAACACTTGTATGTCAATATGACTAGATTAATTCTAGACCAATGTCAATCTCCTTTCTATAGTAAAATCATTAGCAAATGCATTTACTTTATGCGTATAACTATTTTATCATGAGCTGGCTTTAATTCCTGACCACAGACAATCCCTTTTTTCTGCATCTGAAATGTATTCTTATAGTGAAACCAATAGCATTTACTTTATACACATAATAACAATTTTATCAGTATAAGTTTCTGGTAACTGACATTACCTTTCTTTCTTGTTTTTAATACACAATATTAAGATTGAGAGTTAAAACTTGCTAAAAAATAATAAGCTCAAAATTGCAAAATTTTGTGCTTGCCTCCTAAGAAAAATACTCAAATTGTTAGTGCAAAATATAGTCTATTGGTAAAATAAGTGGGATGCTGTTCAGAATAACTGAAAGTTTACAGTTTACAGACAAGATATATATATATATATATATATATATATATATATAGAGAGAGAGAGAGTGAGAGATGAACAGACTGAGATACATAAATAGATCGAACAGACTGAAATATATAGAGAATAAATAAACTGAGAAAGATAAACAGACAGGAACATTGATAGATAGATATGAATAGAATAAGAAATAGATATGAATATATATTACAAGGTAATAAAGCCACTGATGCAAAAGAATATGAGAAAAAGAAAATGTTAAAGGCAGAGAAAAGTAAAAGAACAGAAATTAAAAAGACAGAAGATAATGAAATTTTCAAAGATAAAAATTGACTGGAAAGTAAGAGGCCGGAAGAGAGTTCTACAAGGGTGAAATGAGAGAAAAGAAATTGTTTGCATAAAACCTATAAAATATGATAAATTACTACCAATTATATTATAAATATGTTAAATCTGTGCCATATAAATTATATTATTCTATTATCTTAATTGTTAATAGCAATTTCCATTCACTCGTCTACCTATCCTAATTTGGGAGAATTTTCAAAATACCTTCACATTTTCATTGTCTTTAATTCTCATAAAAGGAAACTTCACAATATTCAGGTACAAATCCAGAGATGATGTTCAGAGGATCCAATCTTATTCCCTGCCAAACCAAGATTATTTGGGTGTAGAAATTCATTTTAAAAGATGGATTACTTTTGTTTATATCATTCAAAAGAATATTTGATAGATCTATGAAGTTCATTTCTGGCCATAAAATTATGGTCACATTAATCTTTATGATGTTATTTCATTGTTTTCTTTTTATCTAATAGCAAATATATTTGATGTTGTTCAACAGTTATTTCTGTATAGGCAATTTTGGCAAAAACTGTAATTCACTTTTGTATATTGGCTTCTATTTTGGCGAGTGGATGTTTCTGGCAGCAGAAAGCTTTGAAGTGTAAATGTGTTTATAATGGAATGGAGAAAAGTCAATTTGTTTTGATTTTTTTTTTTTTTGGAATGTTGATAGAGTAAAGTCAGGAAAATAGGCTAGAAGGCTATCTAATGATTAAAAAGAGGAATTTGAAGAGAGACTTTGAGAAGAGGATGCTGAAATATATATATATATATATATATATATATATATATATATATATACATATATATATGTGTGTGTATAATTATTATAATTATTTTCTTTTTAAAAATATGATTACATTGCAACAAAGAAAATAATTATACTATTTTGCTCTACTGTTTGTTTGGGGAGCACTGTTGTTTTTTAAAAATAAAAATAATTGCTAAGAACACTGGATTATAAATCTTAACTGTTCTTTCTTATTATATATATATATATATATATATATATATATATATATATATCTTTTTTTATCTCTATATATTTATCTATCTATCTATCTACCTAATAATAAAAAACAGTAGTATTAAAAAGTGGTCATTATACATATAAAAGATAAAAATTTAACATGTAAAGCTTACAGTCTGGGGAGTTAGGTGGCCAGATGTGGTTGCTGAAATTGTATGACAGCCATAACTTTCCTGCTTGTGTGGTATAGTACAGAGTCCTGTGGCCAGGCATATGGTTTCCAGCAGCCTTGATCTAGGCCTCCATGTCGAGTCTGAAGCTTTCACCAACAAATTTGGGAGTTCTTTTTTTTTATCAGAATGGTCAGAGTGAGTTTTCTGAGCTTCTGTACCTTTGTAATCACCTTTAGACTCATCCTCTGCACTGTCCTCAGATTGACACCCAAACATGCTTAAATGTTTGTATTGGAGCTTCAGGCATGAATGCCAAGAAGTACAGCATGCCATTTCCAAATTTCTGGCAGAATGAATTGCCCATAGTGTTCTTTTTCTCACAGATGGTGCCCAACTGACCCTACTATACTGTGCAGTTGTCAAAATCAAAAACAAACAGCAAAGGCAAATTAACAAAGGCAAAGCATCAATAATAAGGCAAGTTAACAGTAATATGCAATAAGTTCACAAACTAAGAATTGGGGTGGAAACACAAGAGCAAGTTCAGACAGGCAAATGTAACATTCTGGCTTCAAGACAAAACAAACCGAGATTGAGTCATATGAAACTGAGAACTGGCCTGTTTTATTGGTTAGGAAGAAATCCTAGCATGCATTTTTGTGCTTCTGTCTATAAATTGTTAACATAGCATTCTGACTTCAAGATAAGACAGACTGGGACCAAGTCAAATGAAACTGGCCTGTTTTATTGGTTAGGAAGAAATCCCAGCATGCATTTTTGTGCTTCTGCCTATAAATTGGGGAGGGACAAATGTTTTGCTATCATCCCCTAAAAGATTGGAATCAATCATCTTTAATTCTGCCTCTTCTCCAAACTGTTCTCAATATTTTCCATAACATCCTAATAAATTCCTGGACATTATTTATAAGTGGGGTATGGAATTCCATATGGTCCTGGTGCAGAAGAAGATGTTCTTATTGCTTTAACTACTACTTGCACTTTTTGCAGATTGGTTCTTTTGCATTGAACTGTGTTGCAGATTATTTTTGATTAATTGCTTATTTGTCAGGACCAAATTCTTGATCTTTTTTTTGGTCTATGAGTGTTTTTCCAAGGTAATTGTTCATTTCTTTCTCGGTAAATTGTAAATATCTCCAAGCGGAGCTCTCAAGAACCCAAATGGGTCAGAAATAAATTTTTTGCTTTCTCTCTTCTTCTATGCCATTATTCTCTGCAGATGTTTTTCAGTTTGTTCCTTAATATATTTCAAAGTTCTGCTAGTGGTTGGCATTCCTTCACACTGGATCTTTTGTCTTGTTTTCTAAGAGCTCTTATCGACCTTTTCACTTCCCTGGTCTTATTTGGTTCAATGATTCATCTTCAAGGATGTTTTTCTGTTTCAACTCTATAATTCTAAACATTTCATAGGCTATGATGATGATTCATGTTGTCATGGTTTTTAATTGCCTCTCTATATTGCCTCTAGCACCTGATTGCAGTATCTCAGTGATGTCATTGTCAAAATCCTCCTATTCTTCCTTCAGGGCCATTTGATTTACCTGTGGATTTGGGTTTGGAGCTTATGACCATACCAAGTTGAAACACCATATCTCATATGATCACCTAAGTTAAGTAACATCAAGCTATATCAGTACCTAGATGGGTGACCACTTAGGAAAGCCAGGCGCTGAAAGTTTGGATATACAGTTGATGTAATGCATAACGATTTAAATAATTAACAGAGTACAAATGAAAAGATTTGAAATTGACAAGTTTTTCCATTTCACTGAAGCAGATATTAAGCATAGGAGAGAGTTATCACCTCTTCTTCCTTCCTTCATTTATTTCTTTCTTTCACTGAAAACAAACAGCATCTCAGATATGTCTTTTTCATCTGGAATTGGAAATCAGAGAGCCAAATTCTAATTTCAGTCAGGTTTGTTATATTCACATATGCACAAATGCCTTTGGGAAAGGTATGAATCCACCTCTACTCCCCCAGCTATGTGTTAATTAGTAAGAAATGTATCACTAAACCATTACCTCCCCCCCAAATTCTTTTGGTCTAAAAATATTTTCTGGCTTTAAATAACCTGCAAAAGTTTGTGTAGTGATACTGGCAAATTAATAAGTGCAAGAGAAAGCCTATATAACTCGTCACTGAGAATAACGAGCACGAACACAAGCTTAGTGACTGACTAGTGCTAAACTTCTACTTCACATCAATGGCGTCACAGATAGGATTGCACTTGTCTCTAGAAGATTCAGATACCAGCAATATATTTTTGATTAACCCTAATAACTTAAAAACGAAGGATTTGCAAACTTGTGTTTACGTGGACTTTTGTTCTTGTTTAGTGTGAGGAATCTGCCCCCAAAGTCTGTAAAAAGTATTTTTGATACACCCTCTTTGTGTGTGTGTGTGTGTGTGTGTGTGTGTGTGTGTTGCTGGCAACCCCAGCATGCTGAACTTCGGCACTCTTACAAGTATAATTGTTTAAAATTTTCACAACAACTGAAAATGCAGAATAATGAGTTTATTACAATATACAACTTAATGCAATCTAAAGAAAACATGCATTATCCTACCAAATACATTTTTTTTTATCCTTTAGATTTTCATGGCACTTTCTATACCTATCTTCTTTACAAGATCATTTTCTATTGATAAAATAGCCAAAGAATTTAATCTGTCTTGAATCATAGACGACTGCAAGTATGTTTTTATAAGCTTTAGTTTTGGAAGAGATCCCAAACACATGATATGGTGGTATGATGGTGCCCTGGGCGACTGCCCAAGTTGCCAGTACCTTGAGCCGGCTCTGTGTGTGTGTGTGTGTGTGTGTGTGTGTATATATATATATATATATATATATATATATATATATATATATATAAATAAAATTAAATAATTAAATTAAAGAAGAAACAACCTTAAGGTTCCATGACTATAATTTCTAGTTACAAAAGAAACCAAATTTCTTTGTAACTAGAGATGTGACCTGATGAACCAGGAAAATATATTTTCTTGGGAAATAAATTATAGTCATTGAACCTTAAGGTTGTCTTTTTCTTAATTTAATTAATATTTGGTCGGTTGTTACATTGAGCTCTCTGGATTACATCCTTTTTGGAATTATCCATACAGATTACCAAACACTTCATTACTTATATATATATATATATATGAGAGAGAGTAGACAAAAATAAACACTTCATGGTGACTCGGTTACATGCCTCAAGTGACTTTCAAATTATGTATTACTACTCCTTGCACAGACTCTATATATAGATTACTGGGGGACTTATGGAAAGTTGGGAAAACCAGTCCTTTCCTGTATTTCTATTTAGGGTAATGTTTTAGGTTATTTATAATGTTGACCACTAGTTTGGGTATTTTCATTATTTATTAATTTATTTTTAAATTTATTTATCATTTTATTTACCATATATACAAGCATATCATGTGACTTTTGAAGATCTAATTTTGAAGCTAATTTTATGAGGGTCGCATCTTATACAAGATATAAAATTAGTGTATATACTGCTGGCCCTGGCTATGCCGTTGATCAAATTATATATCCATTTACTGTAGTCAAAAAGTACATCTGTATTTAAAATAAACATGATTTTGGTAAAACTAAAGTTTTACTATATTCACATATTAGTATCGTATTATAAAATACAAGCATAGCAAATGTGCATTGTTTACATTTATAAGATGTTTAACTGTTTCTTGTTTGGTTGTTTATGGCTATACACATTTATGCAACGAATATGACATTACTAACGGTACTTTTATCATTCTCTTTTATTTTTTAACTTATTTAGCTAGATGAGATAAAGAGATAGAGGAAAAGAAATTAGTCTATTGTAATTTGATTTATCAAAAAAGGAACTCACATGATATGCAAGATACGTGATAAAATCAATTTTTTTTTTGGTGCTGGGATCATATGATATGTGAGATCACACATGAGTATATATGGTATTTATTTATTTTTATTGATTATTTTTACTTTTTTTCTAAATTTTGGCATTTGAAATAAAGTTAATTATATTTTGGTTATGAGATGTTATTTATTTTTTAAGTTACATGCACACACCTATGCAGACTTTTGTGTATGTGTGATTGCATGAAGATGACAGAGTTTACCTGCCACATTTAGAAACTGGAACCGATACACCATTTTGAGATATTTTTGAGAATATTTTTCTTGCACAGGTAGCTTCACCATCAGAAAGCTTGTTTTGGCAAAGATAATGAAGGACAGATTGGTTGGTTGAAAAAAAAAAAAAAAAAACTAACAACAGAAACTGAAGAGAGATGGCAAAATGTATTTGGATGGTCAGGAAATAAAAAAAGACACAAAGGGAAAAATATAAAAATAAAAATAAAATTAAATTTATTTAGGAAAGGTGGGGAGGATGCTCAAGTATTTCTATCTAAGCTCTCCTTTTGGAAATATCTACAAGGCATTGCTGATAATTTCTTGGCTTGATTAAAAAGCCCTACTTACCAGATGAAAAATACCTGACTTTTGGTAATCTGGACAGATTTGGAGATGGCGTTTGGGTTGAGAACTTTTCAGTTCCCCATTCCTTCATCTAAATATATATATATATATATATATATATATATATATATATATATATTTTGTATATTTAGGCAGCAATTTTTCATTAATGCATGTTTCATTAAATAATATAGATAATTTTTGTCTATTTATTTTAAGTAAATTCCTTTCATATTGTCTGATAAGCTTAGTCACATTATCGTTGAAAGACGAAAGAAAAACACCATATTGATACATGTTTAAATCCAATCTAAGCTTTCGAACACACAAGCCATTATCAAAGATGACAATTTCAATAAATCAAACAACATGCGGATGAAACAACAATGATAGTCCACCATTGCTGCATGAAAATTTCCATATATATATATATATATATATATATATATATATATATATATATATATATATACATAAAAGTATGGACACTGAGTGGCGACAGTCTGTTTTATATGACCAATACTATACCACCAATTTGTGGTGGTATGGTTTTTAGGTACTTCCAATGGTGCTCCACACTCAATCATCTTTACAGGCTGGCATAATCAAGAAGTTATTGTAATATAGTAACAAGTATCTAATAGAATCTTATGAAGCTTTATTTGACCAATTCAGCTTTTTTATTGTGATGGATGGTTACAAATGAGAGGGGAGATAGAATGTACTTATTTTATTACCACAGTCAGTATCCTAATAAATCAACCATGATGAGATTAAAATTCAGATGTCATGGTCAGAATGCTAACATTCTAACCACATGGATATATTGATATGTATATTGATATAGCACTTTATAAATTGTCCAAATTGTGTCACCAATTTCAGCATTGGCTCTTTCACCATCCTGAGTCATGCTCACTCATTTTTACATTTGAAGGCATTAGAAACAATCTATGTCAAGTCCAGACAGCCTTCCCTCTGTAAACAGAGGGAGTATCTGTTAGGACATGACGTTATATCTACCTAGATTGTTCCACCTTTAATATCATACATTACATGTCTTTTATGTTTTATATTGTGACATTTATTCCCTTGATTCCAGCTCTGTTGAGTGAGAGAGAAACTGGTCAGTTGTTTTTTTTTTTTAATCATGAAGGGTAAAATTGGTCTTACCTTTTTTATTTCTATAATAAAGTTCTGTACCCCTAAGAAAATTATGAACTATTGATATAGATACATTAATATAAATGAAATGAGATAGATAACAGATTATTTTTAAACTAATAGCTAGAATGGGTCTTGGACATGTGTGGCAGGATCTTGCATTGTTAGTGAGACCCTTCTAGGAGAGATATACTTACCATATCAATGCAGGAGGTGAACTGTTAAACAACTTCTTGATTCTTGGAAGTGGGTTGCACTTTTGAGCCACCCTGTTGATCACTTGCTTTCCTTTGAATTGTAGTTGAATCTATAGATTTTCAAAGGATCCTCAGTTCTTTAAGGGAGCACAACTTGCCCATTAGCTAAAGGCTACTTACCCAACTAGAAGGGTGTTTTGAAAAATGATAGTCTCTTCCTTCTTTGCCATATGGCCAACCCATTGCTATCTATTTATCTATACGATTATCCTCATACAAACATTTCTGACCACTTACCAACTATTTCTGTCATCTGTATATCAATCCAATTCTTCCTTTCTGATTCCAGTTTCATCTATAATTTGATCAATGAAACTTTTTACTTATCTTCCTCTGGATCTTTTCCCAAAATTTGGATTCTATAGTATAAGATGATGCACAATTTCTTGCCTACTTCTTCATCAATGACCACTAAACAGTATTTACCTTTGTTGTACCCTGTCTGAACTCCAGTTATTTAACTCAAATGGAATCCACAGCCCATATGACAAAAACAACCCTTAATTTTATCCAGCTTCATGCACCCACCAACAGAATACTGTCCAAAATATCAGGCTCATAAAACATCTTTTCTAACCAATTATAAAAAGACTGAGGCCGTTTTCACAACAGCTGCTTCTGAGCCTAGGAAGCATGGTGGAGTAATGGATACCAACTTGGATTGAGGAATTGGAGAGCTGAGTTTGAATTCCAGTTGAATCCATTACATTCACTTATGTGCTAATACCCTTGGGAAAAGTATGAATCCTCTTCT